GCTAGCCAATGCCTCAAGCGAATCATTAACTCTCGGTATGTGATATACTGGTACCTTTGACACGGCGTTCAGGCGGCGCAAATCAGCAACCAGTCTGTATGCACCAGATATCTTCTTCACCAGACAGGTTGGGGACGACCATGCACCATCAGACTCCTCCAAAATACCTTGACTGACTAGCTCACGGAGCTGAGAATGCAGTTCGTCCGCCAGGTGAGGTGGAACACTCCTGGGGGCTGACGAATGGGAGGATGGTCACCGGTATCAATCTCATGGGTGACCAGATCCGTAAACTCGATATGACCGTCAAAGATGTCAGCGTGTCGTTCGAGTAGCGACTCTAACTTACTTTTCTGCTCAGGCGACAGGTCGGAACCACACTGGTCAGACCGCAGTCTGACAGTTTGCTCAGTCCTCAGCTCATCGTTAGAACAGTGTGGCTGCTCGGCAAAACCAACCTCCAACCTGGCCAGGGCACGCTTTTTGGGAATAGTAATGGGCTCAGTCGTCACATTTCGCACAACAAATGGCACTCTGGAGCCAGCGACAGTCACGAGTGCACTGATGACCAGTAAACCATTCAGATCATCAACGGGTTCGACGAGAGCAGGGCCATTGTAGAAACTATTCTGCACAAAACCTTTTAAAATAACCTCAGTGCCAGGAAAGACGACTCTTTCAGCACTCAAAGGATCGTCGCCGATCGTCACAGCGTGAGCGGACGCTGAACGAACGGCCTCGACGGGGGTAACATAAAGTTGTTTTGCACGCAAATCAATAACACAGGGACAATGCTACAAAAAAATCAACACCGAGCAAACAAGGCATGTCAATGACATCAGAGACGAAAAATGGTACGGTGCACTTAACGCCAGCAATGTCGAAAGGCACCACAGCTCGACCAAGAAGTGGGAGCTCAGAATGCGACGCAGTACGGGCCTGTACAGATGTCTTTCTCAGTGTCAGGTTCGGCATTGCATCAAACACGGACTTATGCAACACGCTGATCGAGCTACCTGTGTCAAGAAGGCACTGACAATCCACACCAGCGAGGCGCGCCGTCAGACGCATGTCATCGGTCAGTGATATCACATTCGATGGTGACTCAGACTGAGCGCCATCGGAGTTTGAGCGGTCCGGTCGCTCGGTGGTGGAACGCTTCGCTGGAGACTGCTCTCTCGGCGGCTGGACCCCAACTCGTTTCCCTGCAGAAAAGACTGTTCAGGGCATGTCTGGGGGCACATCACGGCCAAGTGGCCAACTGAGTGACATTTGAAGCACTTCCGGTTCCGCATTCTGCAGCGATCGCGGACATGATTCTGCCCACCGCAGCACAGACATAACCGCGAGCCGCGGTCTCTCTGACCGGCAGAAGTGCCACCGGGACGAGAGGCTGCCTGAACTGCGGCCTCTAAGCTCATCACCCTCCTCGTCAACACAGCCAGTTCACCGTCACAGTCGAGACGGCGGACACTGGGCTGATACTGCTTCAGATATGCCTGTGAAGCAATCAGGTTACGCACTTTAGTGATGGCGCCGTCAAAGGACGAAATACCGTCCGCAATAACAGCGGCATGTAAGTCAGCGGGCAAGGTGGCCAGGAAATGGCTGAACATCAGTGAGCCCGTATCGGTGAGGGTAGGAAAAGCCACAGCCATCAGCTATCTAAATCTGATGACAAACGCATCGAAACTCTCGCCCACACTAAACCTCAACTCACGCAAGGCGAGGTGATGCTCTGTCACGGTCTTAGCACCGAAAGCACCTCTCAACCCTGCAGCAGCCGTCTCGAAGGTGGCAGCCTGTTGAGTGGGCAAGCTATCGAATGCGTCACGAGCAATGCCAGTGAGTGACAGCGGGAAGACATTTGACATTTGCTCCCCGGTCCATTCTCGCAGCATGGCATACCGCTGAAAATCATCAAGAAAGCGTCTCAGCGAACCACGTCCATCAAAACTCGGCATCGTCAGACCAGCCATCTCGGATCTCAAATGCGCAGCAGGAGCCACATCAGCCGAAACGGGAGGCTTAGAGTCCATGCTATCAGGAAAGCAATTCAGTCCAAAAAAGACGAAGCAAGACTAGGTACCTAACCGACCATTGCAGCAGCGCAGGTACCCAGACAGTGTCGCCAGCAGCCCGGTATCACCTGGCAGCCATCAGTCACAGCTACTCCCGCTGCTGCGCACGGCAGAGTCGGACCGGCCGTCCGCTCAGACGCAGCGCGGCGTCCCGCGCAGGAAGCACGCACCAGACCGACCTGGCCGGAGGTCACTCGGCCGGCCGGCGGGCGAGTGGCCGCGGGCGGTCGCAGAGGCGCGCTCAGCGACCCCAGATAAGGCAGGCGTCACCGGGCAGGCGAATGAGCGCGAAAACCTCGTCGACGCGGTAGTAGTTGCGACGTGGGCCATCCATCCCACCGCTGCCACCAGTTGTAGACGGCCGCCACGTCGAAGACACCGAGGTTTTAGGTGCACTATATTTGATGACCGCCCATCGCCAACACCGCGCTTCAACTCCTCGTGGACGCTGACAGGGAAGCAACGAATCTCGGAAATGGACAGACTAGACCTAGAACTAAACAGAGCGGAAACAGACAGAACAGAGGCTAAAATTAGCCATGCAAAATGAATACCAAAATAGCATGGATTGACTGACGCTAAATTAGACCTCAAGATAATCGCAAGCTAAGTGACTCAACAAACGAGAAGCGAGCACTAAATCAAACTAGAAATGCAAACGGTGCACCGACTACACTTCTTTGATTGAGTATGTTGTCATTCGCTATCAATCGCTTGTTAAATGTAAGCGCATGCACTTTCAAAGCGTGTTTTTGCATTGGTTCGCTATAAATCGCTTTCCAGCTGCCATTTAAAGCTGGATTAAAGACGCCTTTCCAGAATGAGTTACATCGCTTCGTTGTGTGCGTTTGAAGACCAACGTTTAATTTCACTTGTATTCACCTTAATAGGGATGCATTCTCAGCCAGATGCAAAATGGTGTTATGGCTCGCATCTTTGAACACCAGCCAGCAAAGAGCTTGCAGCACTTTCGCGGCACAGAACATCACAGCTAATAAAAATTATTAGTTTGCTTCAGTTGAGCGGCAAATGGCACCAAACTGCTTGTGTAAATTATCCATTCTGATACTCCAGCTTTAGATTAGTTTTATCAAACATAGCAGCAAGTGACCTTTGGTGGATCAGTAGCTCTTTTTTACCAATCATAGGTCATGACTCATGAGTGGGGCATAAGGGATTGCTGCGTTTGGCTCCTATTCTTGTAGTACGAGATGACACGTTTGGCTCTGGTTCTTCTGGGACAAGATGACACGTTTGGCTCTGATGCTTGTGGGACAAGGTGACACGTTTGGCTCTGATGCTTGTGGGACAAGGTGGCACGTTTGGCTCTGAGTCTTGTGTGACAAGGTGACACGTTTGACCCTGATGCTTGTGGGACAAGGTGACACGTTTGGCTCTGATTCTTGTGGGACGAGATGACACGTTTGGCTCTGATTCTTCTGGGACAAGATGACACGTTTGTCTTTGATGCTTGTGGGGTAAGGTGACACGTTTGGCTCTGATGCTTGTGGGACAAGGTGACACGTGTCATGAATTAAATTAGGTGGCACCAACCAAGGGTCCCGGTAGGCTAGGTCAAAGGCACATTTTAGTGAAACGCTCTCTCGGGCCTCAAAATTATAACATGCTGTTAGGAAAGGCCGTGGTCAAGTCAGGCCAAGGTCATGCCATTCAAAATTCCGGTCAACTAGCCGGACATTATTGTTTTTATTCTTGCGGGTTAGCAGCATCTGACGGGCATTGGTTTTGGCATGTAGTCACTCTGCTCTCCCATTTATTGCAAATGACGGAATGAACCGCTTCCTTTTTGGACGCCCATAAGTTGACCTTGAATGGTGTTAATGACGTCTAATTATATGACCTGTGATGATGAACTGCGGTGACCTCATATGGTGAGACTGAGACCAACTGGCAGGTAGTCAAACCAATTTATGAATTGCAATAAAGCACTTCGAAACAGAGAAAACTACGAATTGCAGAATGGAAGACAAACCATAGTGGAGTATACTTCTGATCCCACAATTCGGCGACCTGACCCAGAATGATATTTCCTTAAAACTCGGTTCAAACAAATCACGTGTCTGCTAGGTTGTTACGCCAGTAGTGCTATGTCAAAAACTTATACCACCAGGAGTGCTACATCAATAGCTCTTCTGCGTGACACTACTTATGCTGCAAAAAGTCATGCATATGGGTGTGAGACGTTTCCTACCAAAACGTATGCCTGCCAATTTAACTGTACTATAATTCAACAGAAAAGGCTTATAATCGTCTCTTTTTATACACGGCATTATGGTTTGGGTAACGAGTAATGTGTGGCATAAGTGCTTCACAATATAACTTGAGAAATTAATGAAAACTTTTTCTTGAGCACTTATCCTTGCCTTTGTTCTACTGCATTGTACGCATGGAATTACGCGTTGAATATGTCGAGAAGACATTGCATAAAATGCATTGCTTACTTAGGTATAATCTTATTTGATGTTAATCTCCATTCCGTACAGCACCGCTGACGTTTTTATTTTTCGCGCACTATGTATTACCCGGCTTGCAGTCGTACCTAGAGCTGTTCGTTTCAACCCTATTGCTGGCTTCTGAATCCTGCAAAGCCATCACGCACGCATGCCAATGTTCCATGCCGAAAATGTGGGGAAATATAACATGGCCGTAACTGTTATAGTCAGAGCTTACATCATTTCGTGTGAATTGCATATTACATAGATGAGTGCTCATCAAGCGAACCTAGTAATAAAATACTGGTCAAGACTTTCATGTCTTCTCCGCGCCACAAATGAACGTGCCAACTGTGTAGAGAAAGAAATAGACGCTATCACGGTTGACGACTTCAATTGCTGACGAAGACCCTTTGTGGTGTAGAAAACTGGCAGATTTGCATTGAGGGTACGGTTGGTGCTGTGTTATTCTGCATTGTACTTATTTGTTGTGAGAATTACGTGCCTGTTGGCACTTGATTCTTCCCTGTCTTACATGGGTGTGTGAGCTTTACTGATTTTGTGCCTGGAAAATCGCAAAGAAGACGCATTAAGACGTTTCCCAAGTTTGCCAGGTAGCTGCGTAGTTCGCCTTCCCATTCGTACGAATTTTATGTATACTTATCTCCATGAGTCAAAATCGTGTAATGTGATATTACAGCTGTTATGGGTATGCTTATTCATAGGCAAGGCATGCATCAAAATTCCTGCACCGTGTTCTGGTCAGGAAGGATTTTATTGTTGTCATGCTGAGTAGCAAAAACTAGGCGTTGAGCTGCTGGAGGCTATGCCACAAATGCTGGGCATTTTTCTAGCATGTTTGGACTGTGCCAAAATTGGAATGCCCTGGTCTCTGCCTGCTTGTGTTGTGTATTCTGCTTATGTCATGTCACTGCTATCACTTGTATAGGGCCAGTCTGAAAAAAATCCATCTGCTCCACCAGATGCTGACATGGTGTTGGCACAGTGAACATGGATTATGCATGTTTGAAAATGCGACTTAGATAAATGTGCTAAGTTGTTAATTGCTTTTGCCTGAAACTTCAGTTTCCCAGATATTTTTGCTTGCAATTACCTTAGCTGCACACAAATTTTGTCAAACAGAAGCATCAGAAGCATCATATAATTGGTGATGACAATGCACCAAACTTAGGTCTTGGGACTGATCTGAATCTTAAGGCAGGATTGTGTTGTTACTTTATCTGAAATTGTTGGAATACTGCTATGCCAGACATGTTCTGGGTAAGTATGTTTTTGGTCTGGCAGCAATGCAGCAGCCAGAATTTTCCAAAGAAGGGTGTGGAGAGGGGGACAGAGCTCATTGAATGCTTGTTGTAAGAGAGTGGAAGAAGCCATCTGGCATGCTAATCATGGGGCTGGGTTGGGCTAGGGCTGGAGCAAGAAACCATGCTTTGGACAGCTTTTAGAAATGTTTGGGCTCAAACCCTTTGAGTTGGGCAGCTCATGGGACTCTGGCACAGGTTAGAGAAACCACAAGGTGCATTATGGTGCGTCACAAAATTGTGGGGGAATTCATAGTATGAAGGGGAGCCAAGCAACTGATCGTGCCACACTTATTTATATGCATCATATTTATTTTAATTGCTGTCATAAATCACAGCCCACTCCAGCATGCAGCTGCTTTCACAACCTTAGCAACCAATGATTTACCAATAAAAATGATGGACTGGTGGAAAATATTATGCACATGCTAAGCTTTTTGTTTTTGCCTTCTTGTGCTGAGCAGTAAGATGTAAGAAATCACATGTTTGATGGGCCAGAAGGCTCAAAGTTACAAGCTTTTTTGCCTTAGCAAAATCCGTGAGGTCTTGTGAGGTCCTTGGCAAAATGTGAAATGTGGTTCTAAAGGGTGTAAATCTACAAATTGTTGTAGAGGTGCCATGAAAAGTGCCATATTTTAGATTCAGTGTACTTTTTACCATTGAGTCTTCCTGAACATATATGATGATATGGGGTTCCAAGAAAAATGTGTAAGAGCCACTATCGGGATAAACGAGTGCTTTCCCATTAGTTGCAGAGGCGTAAACGTTGATCATTTTCAGAAAATCCACATGGTATTGTGGTGGCGTCTCCCAAAGCCCAGGGTTATTCGCTGATCGAGGTACTGCTTTTGTTCTGAAAGGTTCCAGAGCATCATCATGTCCTCGAAGGTTTTAAATGAACTGTGTTTGTGCCAATGGGAAAATGGCTCATACAGGACAAATTTTGTTTTGAACATTTGGCCCATCAGTTTAAACTTGTTGACATAGCTCCATAGACGTGCTATCCTTTCTTATATGACGCGAGCTGTTGGGAAAGGTCTAGGGAGGTTTGCTCTGTCAACTTGCTGACCGGAAGCGTGGACCGAGGCCTTGTTACGACACTCACGACGTGGACCGAGGCATGTTACGACACTCACGACGTGGGCCGAGGCCTTGTTACGACACGCACGACGTGGACCGATGCCTTGTTACGACACTCACGACAACGGCTGCCCCTAAAGCCTTTGACAGTGTGCAACATTTCGGACTTTAGGAGAGACTGGGCGTTGCTCGTGGCCGCTGGTTCCGGGGCGGGCTTGAGGACATTTCACCTCGATCGCCCGCGGTGTAGTTCAGGGCAGCATTTTGGGGCCGGTACTGTTTTTGCTGTTTCCTGCTGACCCGCCTCCTTTTGTTCACCGTGGTCAGCTCATCGTGTATGCCAACGACGCCCGTTTTTCCCCGGTTATTCACGCTCAGTTGTTTGCCCGGATACTCTGACCATTGTTGGCGACCTTGGCATGAGAGCGGACGCAGCGCGGAGTGCGGTGCTCAGCTGGTTTAATGATGAAGCGACCAGCAAATGCGCGCGGCCTGATATGCCATGGTTACAGAACGATAGCGCGCTGAGAACTCACAGAAAGTGATGAAAGATACAAAAAAGTGCGCTTCTAGTATTTGTGAGGCAGGAGAAACACGCAAGCATCCCGTGGCTGGCAGATGAGAAAATGCCCAAATTTCACCGTTTTGAACAGTGTGTCATTTACAATTTATCCAGTGATGACTACGGCGAACTTGCCTTTTTTAACTGATGAAGACTAGTGGCGAATAGGTGTGGATATGTTGGTGGTGTGGGTACAGATATGGTGTGTATCTTAGGTTTTGTCCCATAAACCCTGAGCGTGACGCTGCTTTTTAAAGCATACCGGACTGATTGACACGATATCGTCCGCAAATTAATCCTCGAAGACACCTCATGAAATATCTTCGGCTCCGGCGGGACGAGTGCTTGGGTGCGTTTCGGGCCGTTATGAATGAAACCTTCAGCTGCCGTGAAGGATCTCGGTGCCATTATGGAATGCAACCCTAATGTTGGTAGGCAGGTGTCTGCCACTGTCAAGTGCTGCCATAACATTCTAGGAGGCCCTGCGGAGTTGTACTATCGGCTACCATTCGAAGTGGAAATTGCTTGTTCTCGAATGGCTCGTTTATATCCTCGTTTGATACGGCCTCACAGTGTGGATAGGCTGCTTCCAAAGAGACAAAAATGGAATTCAACCGACGGAAGATTTGGGTGTCAAAATCATCACTGGAGTCGAACGATGACAATATATGCATATATTTACATGTATATATATATATATATATATATATATATATATATATATATATATATATATATACCACGTCGTAAAGCCCATGAGTCTCGCGGGATAATTTGCGTGCTCTCGTGGCTCTGCGACCTGGTATGTTCAGTCAGGACGCGGCGGAACTCTGAAAGCCTGCTGGCGCAAGCTCAGCGGCCGCGTGCTAAGTTGGCCGGCGGCTCCTCCGCGTGCCGAGCCAGGTGTGCCTGGAATCGATCACCGCCAGGTGGTTCAGCTACAGCCGCTCGATCGGTGAGGTGTTTTTGCGGAATTGTGGTAGCCGGCCTGACGCCAAATCTGATAATCATGCAGGTGGTATTTAGGTTTTACGATGCCCTCAGCTACTGAGGCTGTATGGCGTCGCCTGCCAGCCTGCTTCTCGCCCTGGCATGGAGGGCGGGCACCGCGGAGAATCGAGCCCCGTGCTTCTGGCTTGCCAGACGCACAATAGCTACTGCACTATTGCTCCACTTTTTGTACAATTATTAACGCAACCAGGGGCTATTGAGTAATAGACTTCTCCACATTGGAGGGGAGAGGCCTATGATAAGCTCAATGTGCTTTTTTTGGGGGGGGGCTGGCATGCAATGACTCAAAAATAGAGAGAGCCGCAATGTGGGGATCAAATTAATACAGTAAAACGCTTTATCACATGTCTCTTTTACTTGTTTATCCCACTAGCTCAGTTTGATGGCTAGACACACGAATGGATGGTAAGAAAACGTTTTCGGGATGTTTGAATGGCGTGTTTTCTCCCTGCACTCGCGTATTAACCCATTAACAATGTGCCTCTGTTTCAGCTGCACCCTCACATCCACATCATCATGTTTCTATGGGACTGGTTTACTGGTGTCCTGGGCTACCTAGGTAAGAAGTCTTGCATCGCGACGATTATAAACAGGAAAAGTTATTGGCAGGCGATGTGCCCGTTCATTCACTCATCCATTCAGTCCAGCATGAGCGCCGAGTTAATGTTTGGTGGATTGCAACAGAATTTGCTGTGAGAAGCATCTGAAAAGAACTCGTGTTTTGTGGAGGTTTTTTCCCGGAACCATTCGTATTATGTCATGCTATATCGTAAAGCAATGATGCAATACGAGACATGCTTTCACGGCACACGGACTATGTGGACATGGACTGTTGTCTTATAGTGGCTGTTAAGTTTACCACTGTAATTTTTATTTTTTGTTATTATATTTTTATTTTTGTTATATATATATATATATATATATTATGTTTATATTATATGTTTTATTATTATAAAAAATTTACCGTGATTGTAAATGGCGCGTGCTGAGGGTGCGATGAATTCGCTTGTCAACGTGACGAACAATGTACTGCTTTCTCCACCTGACATTGCTGTCATGCAGCAATGTCAGGATATGTCACGTATATACATAATATGTATATTTTGTCATTGTCAGGATATGTCACATGCAGCCATATGTCACGTCATGTCAGTACTACGATGGTCATTCCTGTGGTTCAGGCAGTGCGATCTTGTACTCCGGACCGAGTTCAACCTCCAGAGGGAGGGGCCCCTTTGGCCCGACCACCGTAGCCATTCCCCTGACGAACTTGAGGTGTCGGTCAGCCACGGCTCCGACGTTCAGAGGGAGGGGTCTCTTTGGCCCGACCACCGTAACCATTCCCCCGACGAACTTGGGGTGTCGGTCAGCCACGGCTCCGACGTTCAGCGATGATCAGCTTAAACGCGTGCACTCCTGGCCAATGTTCGGATCGACAAAGTGTGCTGTTTAGGCTGGAGATGCGACACCAAGCCATGGCCAGTGCAGTAAATTTTTTTGAGCTCAGACTGATACATCTTCACCCATCTACCGTCTTTGGACTGGAGCTGGCATTTTGTCAGGCGCGACGATCGTTTTTAAGCATGCTAATCCCAGCTTAGCCGTTTACGGTTGCGCGTTTGGAAACAAGTTGGTTAGGTACGCGTTGTTTTTCACCGACTCAGCTGTCAGCTGCCGAGCCGCCAGCTGAGCCGCCAGCTGAACCGCCAACTGCTGAGCTGGCAGCCGGCGGCGTGGTCGGCCGCCGGCTGCTAACGTTGGTCTGCCCCCGACGCAGGCCTGTACAAGAAGTCGGGCAAGCTGCTCTTCCTGGGCCTGGACAACGCCGGCAAGACGACGCTGCTGCACATGCTGAAGGACGACCGGATGGCACAGCACGTGCCCACGCTCCACCCCAGTGAGTCGGCCAGTCGCGGTGCCTCCCAGTGAGGCGGCGGCTTGCTCCAGGCAGCCACGGCTCCCAGTGAGCAGTCGGGCCTGTTGTTGACGCAGTGAGTGAGCAGCTTTTCCGGCTGGTGTGACTCCAGTGCGGACTGGGTACGCTAGTGAGCTGGCAGTTTCGCAGCCAGCAGACCAGCTGACCAGCAGACCAGCGGGCTAACGTGAAATGTCCGGTCCATGGTGATTTGTGGTTGGCGCCCTGTTTGGCCGTGATCCGTTGGCGTATCGTCGCAGCGCGAAATGGCCACAGCAGCAGATACGCTGTTGAAATTTCAAATTGTCATCATCGGCATCGTCATCATGCCCGTAAGCCTGATGCAGTGTGGCTGGGTGCAAAACGACCGATGCGGTCGGCGTGGCCTAAAACACCTATCAATGACAACAAACATGCAGTAGGCATTCCAGTAGCGCCTGGATACATGCAGTGGGCATTCCAGTAGCGCCTGGATATACACCATTGAGTTCTGTGCGCCGACTTTGTTCAACGCAAGTGGTATGTACAACTGGGGTTTGAGTGTGGTAGTGCTCGCGCATAAACCTAGTGTTTCTGTTGCTAACGCAACATGCAGGGCGTCTGGGAAACGTTGAAGACTATTACCACACGTTATGGTTAGATATGAACAGGAACTTGAACCAAACAAGCTCACTTATGACGGAGAGGACATTTGGGAGATACTATTGACGCATCACATGTGGCAATTTGGTCTTGAACAGCATCCCAGGAGTTTTCTGAGATTGGGGCTTTGCACCCGCGTTTGTACCTGGTTCATTTCGAGCCCTCCATCGCACCGCAAAGCGGTGAAACCAACGGAATGTATCGTGCGACCTGTCTAAAGTGAAACTGATCCCACTAGCTTTCCAGTGCCGTGGTTACATAGGCCGGCCGAGGCTGCATGTGTTGCCTTCGTAGGCTTTGTGCTTCGCCTGACCCTAGTGCGAGACGCTCTAGGGTTAGGGTCAGACGCCTTAGGGTCGAGGTCAGACGCTCTAGGGTCATGGTCAGACGTTCTAGGGTCAAGGTCAGACGCTCTGTGGTTGGCCAAACTCTATCGGGACAGGGTCAGACGTTCTAGGGTCAAGGTCAGACACTCTAGAGTCAGGAGCAGACGTTCTAGGGTCGTGGTCGGACGCTCTAGGGTCAAGGGCAGACGCTCTAGGGTCAGGGTCAGACACTAGGGGCAGTGTCAAACGCTCTGGGGCCAGTGTCAGATGCTGTATATATATATATATATATATATATATATATATATATATATATATATATATATATATATGGTCAGGGTCAGACTCTGGGGTCAGGGCCAGGCACTCTAGGGTCAGGTTCAGACCCTTTAGGGTCAGGGTCAGACGCTCTAGGGAGAGATCCGGGAAATGAGGACCTGGACGTGCCCAGTCTTCGCACCGACCACCTTGTCTGGGACTATCCTGAGGATGACTTGTCCCGACTCGCTCGAGACGCGGCCGGTCTGGGCCCCCCCATCCCCACCACGTCAAACGCCCGAGACCTCTTTGTGCGGGTCCGCACGGGCCGTGTAGAAAGGTGGCACGCATTGTCCTTCATTCCGACGTAACTGTTCGGGACCAATTGAAGCTGGAGCTAAACGCGTGAAGGTTAGCGCTGTCGTCGGTCGTCGTGGAGATCGCGATTCCCATCGAAGAAATATTCGGCGCCGATCCGTGACCGGGGCTTCGCAGGCCTGCAGACCGATTCGTGACCGGGGCTTCGCAGACCTGCAGACCGATCCATGACCGGGGTTTCGCAGACCTGCAGACCGATCCGTGACCGGGGCTTCGCAGACCTGCAGATCGATCCGTGACCGGGGCTTCGCAGACCCGCAGACCGATCCGTGACCGGGGCTTCGCAGACCTGCAGATCGATCCGTGACCGGGGCTTCGCAGACCTGCAAACTGATCCGTTACCGAGGTTTCGCGGACCTGCAGAGGTGTTGTCCGTGCCCATATTTGATGAGCGTGTGTCGGCGAACTTTCGCAGCATTCCTGAGCGTGTGTCGGCGAACTTTCCCAGCCTTCCTCGTCACCAGGTTTGGTCTTGTTTGGTTTGATGCCGTAAGTTGGCGATGAAACTTTGTAATTTTCTTTTATCTGAAAAAGCTCTTAAGCTTCGAATTTCTCGGAATGACGAATTCTTAAACGTAAGAAGGCCGCCCGTCAAGATGACAGGGGATGCTACTGAAAGCACATTATGAAGCAATAATTGCACATCAAGTAATCATTGAGGTATTCTTAAGATGTGCTTAAGGTGTTTATAAACCAGCACCTCTTCGTTTTCGAATTTTGCTTATTTTTTTCAACAAAACTGGGGTATCGTGAAGGTCGGTCATTTTAAGTTCGTAGTTGTACCGACATTTTTTAGACACCCCATATGTCACATGTCAGTCGCCTGGCTGTTCGCATGTCGCATGTCACATGTCATGTGATATCACAGTCGCATGTCACATGGCTGTTCGTGTGAGCGCTGTCAACTCTGATGCAGCTCAACGATAGGTGTTTCACTTTCGTGTCACGTCTCTGCAGCGTGCAGCGATCTTCGAAGTACTTGGGCGAGCAAATGTTGATCAAACATGATGGTGTGCAGAGCGAGTGAAAGGTTTTGGGTCCCAGATGTCACTTGTCTACCCGAGCAAGTGGGGGATGGCAGAATTATTACCACCTTGCATCTTTTAGGCTCTTACCGCCGTCAGCGCTGAGCGTTATGGCAACTACTGCACTGAGCTGATCCGGCCCTTTCCACCTTTGATGACCCTGATGCCTGGTCCTGAGCTATGACCTCCGACCCTGACCCGTGCTGATCTCTGACCCTGACCTCAACTGCCCTGCGACCCTGACCTCTGCTGACCTCTGACTTCTGTTTGTCCTGACCGTGAACTCCGACCTCTGCTGCCCCTGACCCTGAACTCCGACCTCTGCTGACCCTGACCGTGAACTCCGACCTCTGCTGCCCCTGACCGTGAACTCCGACCTCTGCTGCCCCTGACCGTGAACTCCGACCTCTGCTGACCCTGACCGTGAACTCCGACCTCTGCTGCCCCTGACCCTGAACTCTGACCTTTGCTGACCGGTACCTGCCTGACTGACCCCTGTTGGCCTTGGCTTTCGCCCACAGCATCTGAGGAGCTCTCGATCGGTAACATGCGCTTCACCACGTTCGACCTGGGCGGCCATCACCAGGCGCGCCGCGTTTGGAAGGACTACTTCCCGGCCGTCGACTCCATCGTCTTCCTCGTCGACGCCAGCGACCGGCAGCGGCTCAGCGAGAGTAAGGTACGTCTCGGTGAGAGGAAGGTGCGGCTCGGCGAGGGGATGGTACTGCTCGGTGAGGGGAGGTGCGGTTGAACAAGGGAAAGGTACGGCTGGACGAGGGGAAGGTACGGCTGGGTGAGGGGTATGTGCGGCTCGACGAGGGGAAGGTACGGCTGGACGAGGGATAGGCACGCGTCCGTGAGAAGAATGTACGGCGCGGTGAAAGGAAGGTACGAGTCAACGAGAGTTGAAGGGCTGCATTATGAATTGTTCACACGCACTAAATGTATCGCATTTTTTTGCGTTCTTGGCATGACACTAATTACCTCGGTGTCATGACGCCCAAGTGACTGCGATTGTGTGATTCAGAGCGATGCTTACGTACTTTTGCCAAACAAAACGAAGTGCAGCGGGTTTTACACTTGGCGTCGGCCCGCTGCAGGTGGAGCTGGACTCGCTGCTGACAGACGAGCAGCTGAGCAACTGCCCGGTGCTGATCCTCGGCAACAAGATCGACAAGCCGGCGGCCGCCTCCGAGGACGAGCTTCGCAACGTGCTGGGCCTGTACGGCCAGACCACGGGCAAGGTCAGCCGGGTCAGGGCCGGCTTCAGCCGGGTCACGGAGGCGTGGATGGGAGGGCAGAGGTGCAGGACCGGGTCAGCCGGGCCAGGGAGGAGTGGCTGGGAGGTCATTGCCGGAGCCAGAAGGGGTGGGAGGGGAGGGGGGGGGGCAGTGCGCAGGCATGGCGGGTTTCAGACGTATTACAGAGGGCCGGTTGGCGACGCCCGCAAGCCGACCTATGCTGAATGTAATGTGGAAGGTCAAGGGTGTTCGACGTGGGTTCAGCGGGTTTCACGCGCGTGAAGGGGTCGGGGAGTGGGGCAGAAAAGGGGCGAGTAGTTGTACTCATGAATCAGGAGGGGGGCTGCGCGTGGAAAGGATGGGCCCAAGAGAGGTCAAGAGGTCAAGGTGAGAGATGAGAGGTCAAGAGGTCGCACGAGGATCAATGTGTTGTGCGTCAGCAGTGCCCGAACAGATGCGGACAGGGATGTTGCTTTGAGGCGCCAGAGTCTCATGTGACCTCAGAATTTGATGGCACCCGGCCTTATGACACGGTCGGGACACAAGCAGGAGGCTGGCGGTGCCCGCTCCAGCCTGACCTGACCTGACCCCGGGCGCCGACAGATGAAGATCCCGCGGAGCGACCTGCCCGGCCGTCCCCTGGAGCTCTTCATGTGCTCCGTGCTCAAGCGCCAGGGCTACGGCGAGGGCTTCCGCTGGCTGGCGCAGTACATCGACTGATACCGCCGCCGGACACATTCCGCCACGCTGCTGCCACCTGTCGGAGGCCGCGGAAGCTGACGTTCGACGGCGCCCGCTAGGCGGCGCTCGTGGCATGCGGGCCGTGCCTGCGCGGGTCTTGGCGAGGAGCTACGCGACGGCCCGGGACGCCCGTGGCCAGCGAGGCCGCCACCCGCGACTCACGTGCGCACGCCCACGGTCGATGCCGCTCGATAATATTAGGAAAATTGCCCCTCCTGTGTATACTTGGTTGACCCGTGTTCTGGCTGTTGCCTGGCAAAGCTGGCGGCGCCCGTTATTTTTATACCGGCATCTCCGCAGCTGGAGGTGTTCAGATAAAGTCGGGCCGCGAGAGCTGGCCGGAGATTGGCATCTAGATATTTTATGACGCCCGCCAAGTCTGCGGTCTAGACTTGTGAGCATCTTGTTTACGCCTAAATTAGCATATACGGTGATTGCAGGGTGATATTCTTTCGTTGCTTGTCTTCTGAAATCTAACACGGTGTTGAGGACGGCTGTAGTTACGGGTCAGCTCGCGGCGGCGCGGCGCGGCGCCCCGCCGCCGTCCCCGTTTCTCGTGTTCACTGTCTGACGGCCGGCGCGGCGTCTGAGGCTGAGTGTCCGACGCTGCGATGCATGACTCGAATAAACAGGACCACGATACGGTGCGCCGTGTAGGCGTGTTGATAACGTGGCGGCTCGGGCACGGCGCGGGCAGGCATCGAGAGCTTCGGCCGTCGGGTCACCCTGTCGGTGCTTGACTGTCCGTCGTCTGGGACCTCGTCTGGTGGTCGGCGACGAATCTGTGAAGGTCTGTGCAAATTTATAAAATATTAACGGCAAATTCAGGGGTGTGCGCACAGAGACATCACCGGGGGGGGGGGGGCATGTGATGTGCTCCCCTCCTCCCCATCTTACCAAATTTGTGGCGTGCGTTGATATGTACGCGGCTGAATGTTGACAATTACAAACTCTTGGTCGGCACGTTAAGGTGAGAACATTGGAAACATGCAATGTAACCTCACCGCACGCGAGAAATTGTGTGCGGTTAACTTGGTTCTCAGTGCAAATGGTTGAGATGTGCCTCCCCGCCCCACACACACACATAACACTCATTGTAAAAACAACGCGACGTATGCTCGCATTTCCAACTGATTATTGCTTTACATTCACGAAAATGTGTCGTGCGGTAGAATATTCGGTTGAAATCCGGACATGACTCAGCTTTTGGAAGACCAGGATTCGACTGCACGAGGCTTCCGACAACCGGAACTGGAGTCACCTTTTCAGCGTCCGTGATAAGACAGGGACGTAGTCGCTCCCAGTGACGTCACGTGGCAACTCGCCTAGGGTGCTAGCAAGTCGCTTGATGACGTTAACGTAGGATCAAAATACCGTGCTTCCAGCCCGTATCATAGACTTTTCGGTGCAACGGAGCACGCTGAGTGGTGGAAGCGTAGATGGGCGGAAGGTATGGACAAAGCTGGCATGCTTTTGTTACCAGTTTTACCTGGCAAATTCGTATCAGGCCTTCATTCTTACCGGACAATCTTCATACCAATGCAGATGAGGGCGATGACGGCATCCGATTCTTTTCTTTTTTGACAAATGACGGGTAGGGACTGAGATGAATCAGAAAAGATCGATCATCTTAGAAGTTTTGGAAAGTGTCCACGGTGTTTCGAAAACTTAAGTCGAATAACTTCTAGCAGGCGCGCAGCCTGAGCCTTGGCAGGGGAGGGCGCAGGGTTCGCAAGGAGCTCCGTGAAAGTGGAAGGCCCCCTTAAAATCGCCGAAAATGGCCCATTTCTAAATAAAGGCACATTGTCTATGATGTTTTTTTTTAAAGAATTTGGCCTTCATGAACTGGGATGGAAACCAGAAGCTACCGCGAGATCAATTCCGCTTGAACTTTAAAGTTTATAAACTGAAGAAGTGCTTTAAGCGACTGCACGAAATGAATCGCCGGCACTCTCCACTTTGCAATATTCCAGTGAACTTCTTTTAATGTCAGGCACTTTCTCCGAATTTGTACATGGATTCCATAGACATATTAGGGACTCTGCGAATGTAAATTCAGGATCGAAATGGGCCAACCATTTACAGGGCCAAGCCATGTTGGCCTGGAAATGCTCAATATTCCAGCAGAATCGGCTAGTGATGCAAATTATGTGACGTAGTTTTGAACAGAAACAAAAGGCTTGACGCTAGGCGTTACAGTCTCCATAGGGCGCGCGGTGTCGGCCCGGCGGCTAACACAACTGTAGCCAGCGCCTGGATGTAAATGATGACGAGTCTGGAAGAAGAACCTTTGAACGCTCCAGGATGCGAATATAACATTTAGAAGGCAGTCCGGGCATGCATTTCACCCTTGCAATTTTTAGATACATCAACTTTGGGACCATTTATGCGGCTCATTGGATGGGTAGAACAAAATTCGTTATGGGCGCCAAATTACTACCGCAGTGGGCGCGCTCGTAAATTCCAACAAACAGCAAAATTAGATCGATCATAATAACCGATTGGCCTTTTCAGCACCGCGAAGTGGTGCTGGAATCTTGTGACACTGAGAGAGCAAATGCAGGCTCTCTGCTTTTCCTGTTGCTGTAGCTGTTTATTTTTTCCGGAAAGCGGCTTCAAAGTTGCAAAGACAAGATACGCCCAGGCAAGTCTTTAACCGGGATAAATTAGCTTTGAAAGACATTCGGAACCATTATTTCACGACGGCGGTCCTCGCGCTCACGACGCCGCCGCCTAAGTTACACTTGCAGTGGCCGACGACGTTCGGTTTACGGAAGCTGCAACCCAGGCCGTCGCAGTCCTTGCTCTTGAGATTGCGGGGGCATATGCTTAAACCTTGTGATGGAATTTGTTTCGCAAGCCAATTCCGCAAAAGAATGGACGTTTTTTGGCAACCATGGGATGGCCTTCTCCCCCTTTGAACTCGTTTTTATTCGCTCTGTTCAGCACTTATGAGGTCTCGCATTTCTTTTCGGGCAAGGTGTCCCTTGGGTGGAAAGTTTGGGGCACATTACTGTTCCCGGTCAAGGGCTGGCAGGCCATTCTGTCCCACCGGTCTAGCAAACCCGACGGTCTAGTAGGAAAAATACGCTGCAGAGCGGGCGTGCTACCAACTTATTTTGGTAAGGGATTACCCGGGAGATTTCTGAGATTGGGTGTCGTGTCTTAGCGGGCGCGGACAAATATCGTTGTTTTACGGCGCGCATTCGCAGGCGCAGGTACATAATTGCGTTCTGTCTATCCCTTGAGCAATGTTCAGTTGAGCAAATAGAGCAAATTTTTTGGGTCCACATCCAGAGTGTAGATCTGCACTCCCATGGTGAAAATTTTGGGTATTATTGGCTTAAATTTCGCTCACTTCTTAATATGGTTTGAATCGAACTTTCTCCCAACTATGGTTAAATGAGAACTGTATGGTATGCATGACCTTGGACACAGCGAACTGGGGGGAAGCCCATCTCCTTTATGCCCACCTTTCTTGCATTGTTACTTAAATGCAGATAGCCCTTGACACAAGCTAAAATTGGCATTCTGTCCTTACTAAGTGCTGCCCTCCTGTTTAAGCAAATGTGGACCACCCCCTGTGCTGCAGTCACATTTTGATCATGGCAATGTTGTTTCCTAGAGAAATAGAGCATTCTGGTTTTCAAGAAAGTAGAATGATTGGATTTTGAATCAATATTATAGCCTGAAGAGGAAGTGATGTCTGCTTGGAGAGTACATAGATAGCCAACAGTCCATTGAATGGTGATGTGGACTGGTAGTTGCAGGCAAAAATTGCACAAAACATTGTTGTAATGAGAACATGATGGAAAAGTTTGGTGCAAGTGGGCCTCACCTGAGTTTGGAGCATGAAAGCATTATGTTCAGTATGCTGATGCTTTAGAGGCATGCATTGTGGTAGATCAAATTTCTACAGACTAGATGTAGGCCAAACATATGTCTTTGGACTTAAGCCAGGATTTCGTGCCTGGACGTCCATTCAGAATTAAGGGAAAAGGTGCACACCGCTCAAAGAATACCTTCCTTTGCCATTAGTTGTCACGTGCCCATGGCTGCTTTGGTGCTGCTGCCAAATTAAAGGACTATTTGTTAAGGGATGCAAAAAGAAAAAACAGCTTGTTTATCATTACTTGTCCATCTAGCTAACTCAGGTTAGAGAGCCGCTGGCCTGCCTTCCCTACCCTGCCGATCATAGTGGGGTAGTGGCTTTAAGTGCTGGCTGTTTGTCCTTGGCATGTATTGCCTGCTGCTGTGTCAGCATCAGTGCTTGACAGGTATTGCCTGCTGCTGTGTCAGCATCAGCACTTGGCAGGTATTGCTTGTTGCTGTGTCAGCATCAGCACTTGACAGGTATTGCTTGTTGCTGTGTCAGCATCAGCACTTTAGGTCAGGGGATGTAAACTCAGGAAATCCAGGATGGATTTGCCAACTACTGAGCACTCTAAACTCATCTTGCTGCTGCTGTTCTCATTCACATTCATTCAATGCATTCTGCTGTTAACCTGGAAGTGTGCAACCAGATGATAGGGGTTGGGATTCACACCACAACCAGATGATAGGGGTTGGGATTCACACCACAACCAGATGATAGGGGTTGGGATTCACACCACAAGCAATGCTTAGTCTCAGCTGTGATCATGGAAATTGATCCATTTTAAATGTTTGGATTAAATATTTAAAAAGAAGGAGAGTATGCTGCACCCTATGAGAAATATCTGGGAGGAGATTGTTACCTGGGAATTATTGTTAGGTTATGCTGCACCATGCATGGGTTCCCAGTTACTTCAGTGCACAGACTGGCACCCCTGAATAGTCCTTGCATGTTCCTACAGATTGAAATTCAGTCTATGATGCACAAGAGTCCTTGATAAATCGCAAATATCATATGCTGGTGGTTTTCCCAATGATGGCATGATTATCCTGCTCTTGCTTTCACAGCTGGTAGTGTCACAAGGAACATGGCTGCTAAAGTGGAGGACCAGCTACCAGATGGCATTACTGCATTGGACAACCAAGGTGGTGGCCACATGTTCAATGCCAAGAAGGGCATGGTTGGTAAGCAATCATGATAACTATATTTTATGTTGTCATGCTCATTGTGCTGTCATATGTTTACAATTCCATCATTGGGATTTTGTTGTTGATGTGAACACAACTGAATGAACCAACTAATCAAGTTTCCCACTATCACCAACCATTTGGTTTCACCACTGTTCCCGATTCCATTGCAAAGCAGAATGCCTTGGATTACTGTCCTGAAACCTGGTGTCCACTTTAAACTTGATCCTTTTCATTTTGGTGTCGAATGAGCTTCACCGTGCTTGATGAAATTATTAACTCTGGGCCATACACTGCTTGATGAGAGTATTAACTCTGGGCCATACACAGGCCATACACTTCATGCTTTTTTCTATCACCCAGGCATTCATTATTTGAGCACAGTTAACATCTTGCTTCAAAAAGCACCCACATGCAGCAGCTCTGAAACCCAACCAGCAATTTCTGAGATCCTACTAGCACCACACACGTCACAGTACACCACTCACTGAGCCAGACCTCTGGTCATCGAACGCGCCATCGCCGCCGGGTCTGCCGGGACGTGCGGACGCCCCGCGAACCCGTCATCGGCACGCGCCGACACTGAAACGCCGGCGACCTCTCATCCGTCCCGATGGGCGCGGCCCGCCCACCCCCGCTAGAAGACGCGCTCGTAGAACGGCATGTAAACGTGACGTTGGGGCGTCCTGGCCAGCGTGACTTGTGTCGCGTGTTTGTCTCTAGTGTAGAGCCTCTGGCGCTGGCTCTGGCTCTGGCTCTGGCTCTGGCTCTGGCTCTGGCTCTGGCTCTGGCTCTGGCTCTGGCTCTGGCTCTGGCTTTGGCTCTGGCTCTGGCTCTGACTCTGGCTCTGGCTCTAATTGTGACTTCCTCAACTTAGTTCTGGCTCTAGTTCGTGCTCCTTCTCCTCCTCCTGCTTCAGCTCCAGGTCTTGCTCGTACACATGCTCCAGCTTTTGATCGCGCTTTTGCTCCTGCTCCTGCTCCTGTTTCCGCCCCTGGGTGGGCGACGAGTCGGGCGGACGCGGTGCGATGTTGGCGCGCGCGCCAACCTAACTGGTGGTGACTGGAGCTCGCTCCGTTCCCCCCCCCCCCCCTCCCCCTCCCCTGGTGCCCCGTACCGCCACTGTCAGATGCGGGACCGCAGCGGGCAGGGTCACACCCGGCCCCGTCCGCCGGTGAGGCGCTGGAAAATGAGTGTCTTTCTGACGGGGGTTGTGCTCGGGAGTGTCGCGTCCCCGGGCCTGACGCAGGCTCCTGGCAGTGGCGGACGTCCGGTTGGCTCGGCGGCTGAGTCCCTGAATGGCTGAGTTTACCTCGCGTGCCCACTGCACCCTGGCGTAGTTTGTCTGCTGTTTATTATTGCTGTATTTTCCTTTTTTGATACTGAGGGTTACCAGTTCAGGGTTCAGCAGCGAAGCAAGCTGTTGTGCTTTTTCCGCAAATTGTTAAGTGCGTTTGCGGGAAACATTATTCACATAGATAATACAGTATTAAGAGCCTTATTCTTCGGAGAAAGACAGGGAGAATGGAGATAAAGATGCGTTGATATTTCGGCCACATGGCTTTATCGAAAAAATAGCAGAAGCTGTCGAGGCTTATCAAACTCTTGAAGTTCAGAAGCAGTAGCTCCATTCTCCTGTGTTTCTCCGAGGAATAATGTTACTACTGCTATCTTACCTATTTTTAGCCTTTCGGTTGCCTCCTAACAACCATCGGAGTGGCACTGCCGGTAGCAGTTTGACTATACATTGATACACGCATTTGTTTTCGCCTCCGAAAGGAAGTTCCATTGCCGTGTGCTTCATTTGCTAGGTTTTGCTGTATGATATGCTTATTAAATTAAACATAATTGCATATCGTTCAATAGCGACGGACAGTCGTGGGCAATTCTGGATAATTTAAGGACTTTCCGATTGTAAGGAGCATAAAGATGGCCCAAGCTTTCACCAACACTACCAGAGACTTGAAATAGGTTTCCTTGTTCCTATTTATCTGGTTAACTAACACCAAAACAAAATTTAAGAAAATATCCCTTTTCAAATTTGGAAGTGATTGCATGTCAAGTCGCTGAGTGCCGTTCTTCGCATGCTGTACATCCTGCTTCTGCTCTCATTTCCGCTACTCGGATTGTGCCGAGTTTGTGCTTTGGCTTTGCCGAGTTTGTGCTTTGGCTTTGACGCTTGTGCAACAAGTTTTCTAACACGCACTAGTTTCCCAGTTAGCATGAAGCTTTTTATCATGTCATGATATGTCTGCTGGCCTGTTTCTGCGCAGTCGTGCTTCTGGTACTCCCTGCAGGGCTGTACATTACACCAAATCATTCAGCCCTTCTGCTTCCGCGTCGTAGCAGGAAAAGCTGCTCGAGGAATCAGTTATCATTTATTGGCTTCCCTCATGCCCGGCGGGGAAGGGGGATGTGCCGGGGACCCTCGTGCGCTGGGTGTGAGTCACAGAACGGTGGGGGATGTGCCGGGGACCCTCGTGCGCTGGGTGTGAGTCACAGAACGGTGGGGGATGTGCCGGGGACCCTCGGTGCGCTGGGTGTGAGTCATAGAACGGTGGGGGATGTGCCGGGGACCCTCGTGCGCTGGGTGTGAGTCATAGAACGGTGGGGGATGTGCCGGGGACCCTCGTGCGCTGGGTGTGAGTCATAGAACGGTGGGGGATGTGCCGGGGACCCTCGTGCGCTGGGTGTGAGTACGTTGAGTCACAGAACGGTGAGATGTGCCGGGGACCCTCGTGCGCTGGGTGTGAGTCACAGAACGGTGGGGGATGTGCCGGGGACCCTCGTGCGCTGGGTGTGAGTCACAGAACGGTGGGGGATGTGCCGGGGACCCTCGTGCGCTGGGTGTGAGTCACAGAACGGTGGGGGATGTGCCGGGGACCCTCGTGCGCTGGGTGTGAGTCACAGAACGGTGGGGGATGTGCCGGGGACCCTCGTGCGCTGGGTGTGAGTCACAGAACGGTGGGGGATGTGCCGGGGACCCTCGTGCGCTGGGTGTGAGTCACAGAACGGTGGGGGATGTGCCGGGGACCCTCGTGCGCTGGGTGTGTCACAGAACGGTGGGGGATGTGCCGGGGACCCTCGTGCGCTGGGTGTGAGTCACAGAACGGTGGGGGATGTGCCGGGGACCCTCGTGCGCTGGGTGTGAGTCACAGAACGGTGGGGGATGTGCCGGGGACCCTCGTGCGCTGGGTGTGAGAGATACCTCGTGCGCGGTGTGAGTCACAGAACGGTGGGGGATGGCCGGGGACCATCGTGGCTGGTGTGAGTACAGAACGGTGGGGGATGTGCCGGGACCTCGTGCGCTGGGTGTGAGTCACAGAACGGTGGGGGATGTGCCGGGGACCTCGTGCGCTGGGTGTGAGTCACAGAACTGTGGGGGATGTGCCGGGGACCCTCGTGCGCTGGTGTGAGTCACAGACGGTGGGGGATTGCCGGGGAGGGGTGTGATCACCTGCGGGAGAACTGGGACGCCGGGGACCCTCGTGCGCTGGGATGGGTTTGTGAAGTCACAGAACGGTGGTGGATGTGCCGGGGGACCCTCGTTGCGCGTGGGGTTGAGTCACAGAACGGTGGGGTAGGATGTGCCGGGGACCCTCGTGCGCTGGGTGTGAGTCATAGAACGGTGGGGATGTGCCGGGACCCTCGTGCGCTGGTGTGAGTCACAGAACGGGGGGGATGTGCCGGGGACCCTCGTGCTTGGTGTGAGTCACAGAACGGTGGGGGAGTGCGGGGACCTCGTGCGCTGGGTGTGAGTCAGAACGGTGGGGGATGTGCCGGGGACCCTCGTGCGCGGGTGTGAGTCACAGAACGGTGGGGGATGTGTCGGGGACTGTGCGCTGGGTGTGAGTCATAGAACGTGGGGATGGCGGGGACCTCGTGCGGGGTGTGAGTCGAACGGTGGGGATGTGCCGGGACCTCGTGCGCTGGGTGTGCAGAAGGGTCACCCTCGTGCGCTGTGAGTAACAGAACGGTGGGGGATCGTGCCGGGGACCCTCGTGACGCTGGGCCTTGTGAGTCATCAGAAACGGTGGGGGATGTGCCGGGGACCCTCGTGCGCTGGGTGTGAGTCACAGAACGCGCGCGTTCTTTCGTCAGATTACACGGTGATGCTCGCATGCAAATGACCGAGGAAGGTCAGCCAGGACCGGGCCTGCCGACTCCGACCTCCTCGCGGCCCGCAAAATTGATCGCATGCTCTTTGGTAACTGGCAAAAAAGTGGAGCCACGATCGCCTCACGAGCTGAATCGTCCCATGTTAGGTGGGTTAGGTTAGGTGGGCTTGTGCGCTTCCAAAGATATCTGCATATCACGTAGCCGGAACCGAAATTTGCTGAATGAAACCATCGATGATAAAGGACAAAAATACATCAGATTACTCTCCCTCTGCTCTCTACCTGGCGTAGCCGTACGCCCGCCGTACTGCATTCGGTGCAAACTGACGCCATTTGTTGACTGGCACTCCGTGTAAACTGGCACCCGGCAAAAACTAACGCCCGGTGTAGAATGGCACCATGTGTTGGCTGAGACGCCGTGCACACTGACACCCGGCGTTAACTGACGCCCTGTGCAGGGATAATGCTGGACAGCGACGGGCGTCTGCTGAAGCCGGTGTGTCCGGACGCCAGCGTGCAGGAGGAGGACGACGAGGTGCGCTTCTACGAGAAGATCGCGAACAGCGCAGACCCCGTGGACAGGGAGCTGGCCGGCCTGGCGCCCAAGTACTTCGGCACACGAACCGTCACGGTCGGCGAGCGGGGTGAGTCGCGCTCGACGGCCAGCAGGGCAGCAGGGTGGCGGGTGAGAGGGGCTCTGTACTGAAAGGGGTTGTCGACGGCAGGATGGTGAGTGAGAGGGGCTCTGTACCGGGAGGAGGTGTCGACGGCAGGGTGGTAAGTGAGAGGGGCTCTGTACCGGAAGGGGGTGTCGACAGCAGGATGGTGAGTGAGGGGGTTCTGTACGGGGAGGGGGTGTCGATGGCAGCGTTGTTGTTGGGTCATTGCGCATGGAGAGGGTCGGCGCTTCAATGCACGTTGTTATCGCTGGAAGATAATTGTGAGAAAGCTAGCGATGTTTACGATGAAGGGAATCAACACGTAATGGCTGAATACTGTCATGATGCCCCTTTCACTGCTCTGTTTTTTTTTCTGGGGTCAGTGAGGACAATGTTTGGGGCTTTGGCTTCATGGCGTTTAATTTGAACAACTGCCAAAGTAGAGTCCGCCACGATGTTTGCCTGTCACGTGAAAACCGAACGGCAAACAGTGTTACTTTCATGGACGGCAATGCAGTCTTTCGACGTCACTGGAATGGAGGGAGCACCTCCGCCGGTTGGGATCTTAGCCTCGCCCACTGCAGAGACGTGCGCCGTGTCCAGCTCACGTCTAAGTGTTGCACGGACGTTTCCAAACAAGGCGGTTCACTTTTCGGTTGTGATCATGCAGTTAACAAACCGCTGGACGCTGCTGTTCTGAACTCTTCAAAGCCATCGGATCCAAAATTTGTGACATCTCCCCCCCCCAAAAAAAAAACAACAAAAACAAGAACGATGGGAGGGGCTGGGTGCGAACAGAAGTCGAAAGCACTACAGTGTACAGCTTTGCAATAGCAGCCCTCTGATCGGAAGACTCTCATCAGGTGTACCCGGATGGGCACAGATGATGATAGGTGCAATCGTCAACTTTGTTCGAGGCAAGTAAGCATGCATCATCTTGGGACGTCACATGAGCAGCGCTTGTCATTTGAAGTGCATCTAGAAATGGCGTTTTGGTCATTGTCTTGAACACCTTGATCTAATTCCTGGTACTGGTCACCATCATCATCATCATCATCATCATCATCATCATCATCATCATCATCAGCTGAACCCGGGGTCAAGGTCACACGGCACCGGTGTCGCGTCTGGAGGGAGGAACGGACCGATCGACACCGACACGACACGACCGAGGGCGGCCCGCTGACACTGCCTCAGCTGTTGCTGATGCATGGAAGCCGGCCGCCTTGCCTGCAGGCGACAGCGTGTGTGTGTGTGGGGGGGGGGGAGGGGGAGTTGGAGCGTCTCTGGCGCCGAGACGGGACGCCGCCCCTGAGTGCATCCAGTGCTCTGTTCATACAGCAGTAAAGTTGCCGTGTTTTGTGTGGGTGTTGTGAAGGTTGAGATATAGTTTAAGCCGACTTTACGAGTTGCTATGTGCTGTCTTTGTCTGCGTGTGTGTGGTGTTGTTCAATGTTGGGAGCTGTCTGGTGCTGTACGAGTTTCCCGGGTTTGGGTTGCCGTGCGCACCGCACCGCGTGTTTGTTCCTGCCGTCTCTGGAGCTGGTGACAGCTGAGGCAGTGTCAGCGGGCCGCCCTCGGTCGTGTCGTGTCGGTGTCGATCGGTCCGTTCCTCCCTCCAGACGCGACACCGGTGCCGTGTGACCTTGACCCCGGGTTCAGCTGGTGGTGATGATGATAGTGATGATGATGATGGTGATGGTGATGGTGATGGTGATGATGATGATGATGATGACCAGTACCAGGAATTAGATCAAGGTGTTCAACACAATGACCAAAACGCCGTTTCTAGATGCACTTCAAATGACAAGCGCTGCTCATGTGACGTCCCAAGATGATGCATGCTTACTTGCCTCGAACAAAGTTGACGATTGCGCCTATCATCATCATCTGCGCCCATCCGGGTACACCTGATGGTTTCCTGGGTTTTGGGTTGCCGTGCGCACCGCACCACGTGTTTGTTCCTGCCGTCTCTGGAGCTGGTGACGTTCGTGTGGCCGGCCGCCAGCGTCTCGCCGTGTGTCTGTCTCGCTGGGGCGGGAGGTCGGCCCGCCCCCCGCGGCCCGTGCTGATACGGCTCTGCGGCGCCACGAGATCTGACGGCCGCTGACCGCTGACCGCTGACCGCTGACCGCTGACCGCTGACCGCTGACCGCTGACCGCTGAACGCTGACCGCTGACCGCCGCGCCCGGCTCTGCGGCAGAGGTACTCTGCATGAAGGTGGAGAACTTCACGCGCGGCTTCCGGCACGCCTGCGTGCTCGACATCAAGGTGGGCCGCGTCACCTCGATCCCGACGGCGCCCGAGCACAAGCGGAAACACGAGGCGGTGAGACCACCCGCCGCCGGCGCGCGCTCTCCCGCCGTCGACGCGCGCGCCAAAGCAGACAGCCCGTCGCGCCGCGTGTTTATCGAATTTTGGGCGTTGCGTTCAAGCAGCGAATGACCGCGTGGGCGGGCTCTGACGGTGTGCGAGCAGCAGCAGCTGTGACTGTGGACTGCAGGCGAGTTGGAGGCATTTGTTTTGCTGCGGCAGGCCCGAAGCGGCGGAACTGTTCGCCTTCACGGCCTGGCTTGGCACGTTCCTGGCACGCTTGGCACGGCCTGGCTTGGCACTTGGCACGTCGTCGTGTACCCCACGTGTGAGATAGCTGGACCCAGCCGGCGTTGGCTCGTAGGGCTCCCATCTCCTAGCCGACCGGCGTACGCCCCCCCCCCCCCCCCACCCCTCCCCTCCCCTCCCCTGGTCCGAAATCCAGACTTCCTTGGTCGTGAGAGCTGAACCGGGTTACCACGACGTTTGAACCACAAAAGGTTGGCCTCATACATCAGGCTGAGAACTTTTGGCCTCTGAACCCGTAACCCCTCGCCTCATCCCCCGGCCTCTTGACCTGTGACCTTACCCAGCACCGGTGACCCATGGCAGCCGACATTGACCCGCCTCCTAATCCCGGGACCTCTCACCATGCTGGCCGACCGAAGCCCTGACCCCGGCCCCGCCGGCAGTCCAAGTACACGGGCACCCGCCCTGACCTCGGCCCCGCCGGCAGTCCAAGTACACGGGCACCCGCCCTGACCTCGGCCCCGCCGGCAGTCCAAGTACACGGGCACCCGCCCTGACCTCGGCCCCGCCGGCAGTCCAAGTACACGGGCACCCGCCCTGACCTCGGCCCCGCCGGCAGTCCAAGTACACGGGCACCCGCCCTGACCTCGGCCCCGCCGGCAGTCCAAGTACACGGGCACCCGCCACACGGTCGGCTTCAGCGTGCCCGGCATGACCGTCTTCGACGTGAGCCGAGGAGCCGTCACCCAGCACGGCAAGGAGTTCGGCAAGGGTCTCAATGGCGACACGGTGGCCGACGGTGAGAGCCGGGGCGGGGTGGTCAGGTGAGAGGGGTGGACAGAGACGTGGCTGGGCTGGAGCGTGCGGTGGGAGCGGTCAGACGGCGGGTAAACGACAGGCGGTCAGAGTCAAGGTGAGGAAGTGTTCGGTGGTGGGGATGTGGACGGTTGTGGGAGTGGAGGAGGGGGTTCAGTCTGAGGGTGGGGACGGAGATACACCCGTAGAGCTCTCAGGTTCAGTCAGTTAGGCGCCAAGGGTACAGATTGAGATGCATGCTGTCTTAACTTTTCTCAATGCTGCTGATGCAGACTCGCTCCCGCCGCCGCTCTCAAAACGTTTCGTGAGGTTATTGACCTTGACCCCCTGCTGCATCCTGGCAGTGACCTCCTTGTCCGATTTGTACCGCCTGGGGCGGCTTGACACCCGTCTGGCATGGAAGCCCAACAGAGAACTACGGTGGCATGAGCTGATGCTTGCGCCTGTGCCTTTTTAACTGGACAGATTTGGCCAACGCTGGATAGAGCGGATGTGCGGAAAGACGGCTCTGAGGATGGACTGAGGGCGTGACGCCGGGCGGGGCGATACAGCTGTCGGCCAAGCTGATTTTAAGCGGTGTGACAATGGGGTTGGTTCGTTGGTTGTTTGGATTAGAGCTCTTTTGACCATAAATTATAATTTCGGGGCTATGGGATGAAGGAAAATGGTTGACGGTGCAGCAGACTTGCACGCGCCTGGGAGGGGGGGGGGGGGGGCGGCGGGGGAGGGGGCACCGCCGAGTTTAACCTGCGCATGTGCGTTGGGTACCCGATCGGGGTCCCCCTTCCCACGGGGCTATCGCCCCACTCGTGGCAAGATAGAGGATAAGAGGGTCGGATACGAGGAGTGGCACGCAGGGAGGGGAAGAATTTATGGCGAGTGAGAACGGGTTGCACGCAGTTCCGATGTGTCTGTACAGTACTGACGGTAAACTGAAGCATCAAACATGGTATTCTGTCAATATGGAGCAAGAACAGGAGATCAAACGCTCGAAAGCACGACGCGTCCTAGAGGTGCACTCGACAGCGTTTACAGTCGGAATCAACCCTGGAATTGACCAAGTTGTCTTTGTGTCAAGGTACGCTCGCTTTCCTTGTTAAATAGAAGTGAATATGACTCCGTGCCAAGTCGGTAGGTGCTAACCTCGCCGTGGATGGATTGCGGTCGTCAGCCGTTAGTTGGCCCTGCGGCCGCCGTTGCTAGGCAACCGCTGACACGTGCCCAGCCCTGGCTCGGGTGCGCTGTACGAGATAAGCGTGAGCATCGGAGGCGATCCACGATGGCCGCAGTATTTTGTGGGGTAAATTGGTTATTTTACCGTTTATTTTGCATTGCCCCAAGTTTTAGTTCTCTTGTTAATCCCTTAACTCTGAATGGGTCATGGCGGCCGAAAACGAGCTCCGATCTAACCAGACCAAAAGTGGACAGCTGTCGCCATCTCTTGTAGTGCGGTCGTCCGCCAGTACATGCCGAACAAGGCGGCTGTTTCGCAGCCGTCGCTATTGGCACAGTTCGCCAGTGTTGGTGTGGAGCCTCTCTCTGCCCAGCTGCCGGCCTCCCTCCCGCGCGCGCAGGCCTTAACACAAACCGCACCTCCGGAGGCTTTGACCACGCCCGTCACCGCCGAAGAAGCCGAGGGTCCTCACTCGCCGGCACGTGTCGTAGACCAGCGACGCGACGCACGTATACTGCGCATGTGTGTCGGTAGTGTAGCACTACCAGTGTAGTTGGTGTAGGCACATGTAGTGTTGCACTACCAGGTTAGCGTAACTGTAACACTGCCAGTTAGTGTAACACTGCCACTTAGTGTAACACTGCCACTTAGTGTATCACTGCTAGGTAGTGTCACACTGCCAGTTAGTGCAACACTACCTGTTAATATAACACTACTAGGTAGTGTCACACTACCAGCTAGTGCAACACTACCAGTTAATATAACGCTACTTGTTAGTGTAACACTGCCAGTTAATGCAACACTACCAGTTAATATAACGCTACTAGTTAGTGTAGCACTGCCAGTTGGTGTATCACTACCAGTTAATATAACACTACTAGTTAGTGTAACACTACCAGTTAGTGCAACACTACCAGCAAGCAGCGTTCCCGCGGCTGACGTGTATCTGTGTTCGCCGATTGGACACCGTTATTGGTCACGGATGGCTGGCGCCAGCTGGACAGTGACCGGTCTCCCATTCTGATCACGATGAACTGCACGTGCCCAGGCCTTCGCCTGCCCGGAGCGGAGCCCGCAGCCGTGCACAGGAGCCGGTGCACCGGGCACAGTTCACGGCCAGTTGTGGGCAGGTGGCGGCACAGGGCGAGTTGGGCGAGCACGGGGAGGCGTGTGTAATGACGGTACGTTCCCCTGCATTAACGCTACAACTGCCACACCGCTATAACATTATAGCCTGGCCCACGACTGTTTGTGAGAGGACAATTTGGCTTGAAGATCTTGTGGAGCCTATTCGCCCCCCTCATAGCTTCCGTCTTGTCGAATTTGTCGTATGATATCCTCTATCATATTGGACCTGTTTTGACGGTTGAAGTTCGAAACGAAACCTCGTATTATAGGCTACCTGTTTTAGTAGACCAAAGGTCAAGCTTTGAGATTGGTCGAAACACGAAAGTTCCGAAACACGACAGATACCTCCGTAGGGTAAACATTTCACAAGAGGCTTTCGGCTTGGGCGCATTTAAAGCATCAAACATCTGTACTTTCTGCTTGATGCACATAAGGCATTGAAGTATCTCACATTCGATGACACTACCCGCCTTGACGTTTAACTGGTTCGAGCGGTAATTTTTTTTGGCAACCGGGGATGGATGCAAGACTCCGAGATCGGGTGATTAACATGTGGTGCTGGGCCACGCGTAACGTAGCACGTAACAATACGATACAATGCGTAACAATGCAAATAGTAGCATTGGCCCATCCACCTCTCATTGTGATGCATTTGTCCTTGTCTGGCGCGTCCCAACCAACGGCGGGTTAGGGATATGCAAAACAGATGAGGAGGAAGACGAAAACAGTGAAAGGCCGACAATAAGCCTAACCGCTATCGTGGGCAATTTACTCCGACTTCATTGCCCAAACTAATGCGGATTCATCGTGACGTTGTCCTTCCAAATCCTCCACAAACGCATACGATAATCTGGCCCTAACTCGTGTTCTTAAATGTTCATCAATGGTACATTTCGCGACACAGTAAACTGATTCCGGCCAAACATGGGATTTCATCAGTGGAAAGCCCTCTGGTCTGGTGTGTGTCTGGACACAACTGCGCTTTGTCCTGACATGCGTGTTACAAATGAGCCCCGCAGCCGTCACTGACCAGTGAAGGAGTGCCGCCATTTTGTCGGGACATGTCTGAGCCCAGCCTCTACGGCCGCGGGGGAGCAGTGCCAGTTCAACAAACAGCTTGTTCCAACGTTATAAACGCACCACTCAACACGGCGCCGCGGCCGCCTTGCTTCAGACCATCCCTGGCCATCCACCAATCAGCAGTCAAGGAGGAGCCACGCAGGGCTGTTGCTGGGGTGCGACCCTGGCGCCTCCCACGCATCGGCCGTGGCGTCGGACGCGCCGTCTTCTGAGCCGCAGCGACGGCGGCCGGCGGCGTTGGCCTCGCCCTCCTCCGGCGGCCGCCCGCCAGCCCCACTCCGCCCCGCCGCTGCGGTGCAGTGCATGCAGTGCCGGTGGATGCAGTGTCGGCGGATGCAGTGCCGGCGGATGCAGTGTCGGCGGATGCAGTGCCGGTGGATGCAGTGTCGGCGGATGCAGTGTCGGCGGATGCAGTGCCGGTGGATGCAGTGTCGGCGGATGCAGTGCCGGCGGATGCAGTGTCGGCGGATGCAGTGTCGGCGGATGCAGTCGTGAGGCGGCCCTGACGCTTGTCCGCGTTCCGGCAGCGTTCCGCGCGTTCCTGAACGCGCCATGCGGGGCGCGCGTGCGGCCGATCTGCGACAGCCTGATCACACAGCTGGAGAGCATCCACAGCTGGTTCAGGTGAGGACGGGTTCAAGCGGGGACGGGTTCAGGAGAAGGCCTGTTCAGGAGAGAACGGGTGCAGGTGAGGATGGGTTCAGTACAGGATGGGTTCAGGTAAGCGACGGTCCAGGTGAGGATGGGTTCAGTACAGGATGGGTTCAGGTGAGCGACGGTCCAGGTGAGGGGAGAAAAGGTTTAGATCAGAAAGGATACGGTGAGAAGGAGATGTCAGGCGTTGAGAGGAGTCCAGGGGCGTGTTTGTGTGTGTGGAGGGGGGGGGGGGGAAGGGGAAGGCGTTTGGGGCCGCTGGTAACCATTCGCAAGAGAGCACGTTTTCTGGCAGACCTCAGGCAGAAGGAAATTTCATTTGAAGCTCTCCTGTACTCGACTCCGTAAAATTTTAATTGAGCGTCAGTTCATTATCGGAAAGGCATATCTCATGTTCATGTCACCAGCTTTTAATTCCAGAAACGTAGCATCTAGCCAAGTTTTGCGTTGTCCTAGGAAGGAGACCATGTTCACGCATGATAGTTTTACTATCGCTCTGGCCTCGCACTGCGCCTCGGGCAGTCCTGTAGGTCGTCAATGCAGAAGAGGCGCCCGGCATGACGTCACACGGCCAGCGCCGCCGACACTGACAGACGCGCCGGAGACGATCGCTGACGGCCGCCGCGGCCGCCTCCGAGCGACGGGCCGACCGTGAAGGCTGAGGCAGACAGGGGCGGACCCACTGGCGCTCCTCGGAGTGGGCTGTGTAGGAGAGGGAGGGGGCGTGGTTCTCTGGCGGTGGGCGGGTGCATGTGTCGGGGAAGTGGGGGTGAAATGCGGCGGGAGGGGGGGGGGGGCAAGACCGGGTGGCAGCTGTGCCTGGCTTCGTGCCAACAGCGACGCCAACACCTACTTGACACCTATTTGGCAGCCGTTTGACGCCCGTTTGACCCCCGTGTGGCACCGTTTGACGCCCGTTTGACGCCTGTTTGACCCCGGTTCGGTGCCGCCTGAGGGCCGTCCGGCACTAGTTTGACACTCGTTTGACGCCCTTTGACACCCATTTGACGTCCCTGTGACGCCCATTTGGTGCTCGTTTGACGCCGTTTGACGCCCGTTTGATGCCTGTCTCCGCCCGGCAGCCGGCAGCGCAAGTACCAGTTCTTCGCCTCGTCCATCCTGCTGACTTACGACGCGGCCGGTCTGCTGCCCGGCTGTGGCAGCCCGGTGCTGGCCGCCGCGCGGCCGGCGGCGCGGATGATCGACTTCGCGCACGCGTGGCCGGCCGCCGGCGCCGCCGACGCCAACTACCTGGAGGGGCTGCAGCACGTGCTGCGGCTGGTGCGGCTCGTCAGGGAGACGCTGCCCCCCGCCTAGGGCGCTGGCGCTAGGCGGGGGAGTCCGCCCAGGTGGTGTGTCGCCGGCCTCGCTGTCTGCCGTCGATTGAGGTCTTCTCCTGTTGGATGATCCTCTGTCATTAGCCTCGGTCCTCCGCCGTCGGCTCGTGTCATTTGCCGTCGGCTTGGGTCCTCCGCCGTCGGCGTGGGTCCTCATCTTAAGCCTTCGCCTCTCTTCCTCTGGTGGCTGCTCCTCTGTCGCTGGCTTTCTCGGCCGTCCTTTCGACACTCGTGGCCGCGGGTACACACGCCGTGTGTGCGCACGGGATCACGCTGCGGATCAAAGACTCCATCCTTCCTGCGGCCGAATCTGTGTGTCTCCGATGTTATGTCTCTGACCCTCGCCGACCGTACGCCGTTCGCGTAGGCGGCGGTCGCGGTCAAATGTTGGGTTGTGTGATCAATAGGCTCGATGATTTAGCCGGCTAATGCGCCGTCAAAGACTGGCGAATGCTCAGTTCGCTTCCCAATAGCTAGCTGAACGACCTCCCGAGAAAATGAACTGTTGGTCGCGTGCGCGCGAATTGGCGGCGAGCTAACGCCGGGCCTCGACCGCTGGCGGCGAGACGTCGCTGCTGGCACGAAGCCAAGCACCGCTGCCGCCTGCTCTTGCCCCCGGTCTCAGGGTCGCGTACCGGCACATGAATCAAGGCGTAGCCGCTTCTCAGATGCTTGATCGATGCTTCGTTGGGGGAGGTATGGAGGTGAGGTGTTCGGGGTCGGACCTCACGCTGCTGCGGCGCCCGGCCGGAGCCGTGACACGCTCTCCGAGGTCGCCTCCCCGCGACGCACGGCCGCCCCGCCACGAAAGGCTACGAGCGGGTCACGAGGTGCTTGCTTGCCCCGTGACGTCACGAGCGTGAGTCCGTGGCGCCAGCCGGCTAAGCGTCTGCCGCGTCACGACGGGGTGTCGTGGGCGGTGTGGCCGCGCCCGCCTGGTGCGGACGGCGCGCCCGGCACGTGGAGGTCCGATCCTGACGCTGCCGTTGTCGACGTTCGGGATAGGCTGAAAACCACTGCCCAGCCAGAGGTCTGTGTGGCGAAGTCTTTGCGTCCAAAATTACTTAGATTTATCTGCGTGTCACCTTCCACGTCAATCTGGACCAGCCATGTCGCCCCGTCTGGACCAGCCATGTCGTGACTCCACCGACAAGCAGACTCGCCGAGCTGTCTTTGCTGCAGGTAGCGGTCTGCACGCCATGTGGCGTGGTAATTCCGGTTGGCCCGCGTCTCCGTCACGTGCCACGTGACGTGCCAGAACGTGCCATGGTCGCCGGGACATGCCGAGGGCGGGGCATTGTCGGATTGACGCCGCCCCTGTCGGTCGCCGCTGGCCGCTGGCCGCTGGACGGAGCGACGCAGTCGTGATACTTCGACAGCTTTGTGATGTCGGCATGTGATTACCCCGAATGCGCAGATTCTTGCGGGCGACTGATTTAAATTCGTATCGCGCCGCGTTGAGCTTAGTCCCGTGCCAAATGCGCTAACCGGTTCGTCGCGGAGGGTCTGTTAGGGCGGGTGGTACCACGCTGGGTCTGTTACGGCGGGTGGTACCACGCTGGGTCTGTGAGGACAGGCGGTGCCTCGCTTCGCTGTGTAGCCGCCACAGGACAGCTGCAATGCCGTTTGCGGACGAACCGATCCAAGGATGCAAACGTGCTGCATATGTCCGCTTCCATGTCGGACGGCCGGGACGGCAGCTGAGAAGAAGCCTGGCAAGCTTGTTAACGTCGGTTGTGGCGATTCCTCCTCTTGCCTCGCTCTGAAGCCGTCCCTGAGTCACTGATCATCAAGAAGTTTGTGGAAAAAACGTCGCACAAATCAGTCGAGTCATCGACCGACACCGTAGGGCAATGAAACCCACACTAGAGTGGATCACAAACTGCGTATCCATTTCCGTCACGTACTTTAGTCGACCTGAGTACAGTTTGCGCTGTAAGTGCGCCGCCCGCGTCGGACTAGCAGCCGGCGGACCGCGCCGGGCGTGTCGACGGCGTCCGCGTCTGCCCTGAATGACGGCCCGGCCGTGTTCGGTCATCACACGGAGACCCCAGCCGGTGGCGCGTCTCGGCTCGCTCTGGCTGGAGCGCTCTGGGACAACGCCATCGCTGTGGATACGAGCGCTCGGAGCCGCCGCCATCGCTGGAGGCAGTCTGTCGTGCAGCTGCACCAACTCCCCGGCTCCCCTGGGCGGTGCAGGGCTTCTCCCGACTCCCCGAGGCAGTGCGGCGGCTCCCCGCCTCCCCGGGCAGTGAAGGGAGTCCCCCGATTCCCCTGGGCAGTGCAGGGGTTCCCCCTGCTTCCGCCGGCATGCGCCTGCCTTATGTCTGCCATGAGGTCAGTGGCTAGGTCTGGTTGCGAGCTGCCGCAATGGAACCGGTGTCAAGACTATAGCTGCCTAGTTTGTAACTTGTCTGTAGTTAGGCTTTGCTGTGTTGAGTTAGTAGTTGCCACTCTGATAATGGGCATATTTGTATGTGGAGCACGCCGCACCGTGCTGTGAGGTGTCACTAGTTAAGAGCTCGCGCACCAGGTGTTGGGTGGCAGCCGCCCGCCGTCTTCGTGCTATTCATAATCGCATGCTTTCGGTGCGCGCCTCGGACTTGAACAATTGTAATCACAACGATTCGCGTAGTTACCACCAGCCGCCTTGAGCTCACGAGAAATCGGAAGTAATCGATACCCAGTCGAGAACTGGAAATCGGCAATGGCGAATCACGAGTGAACAATATACAGGGCGTGATCGAGACAGAATGATGCCACAGTGGTTGGCGGAGCATCCCCGACGAGGCATCCCCGACGGGGCATCCCTGACGGGGCATCCCCAGCGAGGTATCCCCAGCGAGGTATCCCCGGCTGGCACTGCCGCACCGGGCCAGCGCCCTCAGTCTGTCCAGCAGCGCTCCTCTGTCCGCTGGCCTGTGTTCGCGCCCCATTGACTGCGTCTTACGCGAGTGCCTAAGGCCTTGGTCGCCGACACGCCCGCAAGAGATGACGTGTCCCATCGGCGCCGATTCTCTTCGGCTGTGACGCTCTGTCTCTTGCGACGTCCGGCGGGCATTCGAGGCATTGTGGGAGAAGGTGACAACGTCGACCAATGGAGTAGAAGCCATCGTTGTAAAAGTACAATAGTGTGATAGCACGTGTTTGGGGATCTAAGCTGACTCCCTGACACAGACTTCCGTGGAAGGCACGGTGCCAACACAGCCGCGGCGATCAGGCTGTCCATGTGTGACCTCTGCACTACGTTGAGGTCCCTGGCCGCTTGCACAGCGGCGTACTGCGTGAAGTGTTCGAAAGCATTCCCAATAGAAAAACGTCGAAAATTCCGCTCGGGGATTGCTGTCCAAATTCCGGGGGTGGTTGTTCCACTGCACTGACAACAAGGCCATGTCCTGAAGTTTTTGGGGAGCGATCGTTGAAGCCGTGGCCCGAGTTCACAAGCTGATGCCTATAGAGCCCGTCCCATCTACCGAGTAGTCCTGCCGAAGTCACCCGAGACATTTGTTCCCCATGGTAGCGCAACATTCCCCATTGACCTGGACGGAGGCTGGTACCGGGCCAGACCTCGGCCTTGTCTCCGCCAGGGCTGGGTCCGCGTTGATCTGTGTCAGTCGGCTCCAGTTCCAGCTCCAGCTCCAGCCCCAGCCCCAGCCCCAGCCCAGCTTCAGTTCCAGCTCCAGCTTCAGCTCCAGCACCAGCTCCAGCTCCAGCTCCAGCTGATGTTGTAGGCGTCACGCCGACGCTCTGGCCGTCTTTGGGCGGACGTGCGGCATGTGTATGGGGCCAGCGGGCGGGCGGCCAGCGGGAGGGACCCTTGCTGTGACGTCAGAGGTACGCCGGGGTGTGCTCTATCCAGATCAGTGCGAAAAATTCCGTGGCGGTACATCGAGGAGATCTGTCGGTGCCGCCCGATTTGAATGGGCGTTTTTGCTATAAAAAATTGGGCTGGTCTTCGCTGTGCTTGAAGCTCAAATTCAGTGTGGCTTGGCCAAACCGTCAACGATTTTCTCCTAAAAATGAATGCCGGCATTTGATATTGGCCGCGATAGTTGCTACAAGAAAGAAGCAACTATATATATATATATATATATATATATATATATATATATATATATATATAAGGTTCTGTGCAACCAGCTGAAAGTGGAGAAACATGCGTCCTTAAAATGAAATGCTTGGAACTGCTTGGCATCCTAAATGCTAGTGCGTGTCCGGAAATGTTTCAAAATGTGCAGTAAGCCGTGGTGAAAGTGGCCGGCGCATGACGCGTTCTGGCGCAATGTGGCGCCCGCTGCCAGACAAAGTCGCTGTGAGGGCAAAGGCTGGAAATCAGCGTGTTGGTTTGACGCTATCGCCTCGGGTTTGACTGCTGATGTGCCATACCTCGATTTGCAAAGCAAGATGCATAAATACACGCGTCATTGCCACGCTGGCTTTGTGCCGCCTGTGGAAGGACGACTGGCTTGAATCGGTGGTCGGCCGTTTTTCGATTCGCCTCAGGCGGTGAATTGAACGGCGTTGCTATGGAGTCAGAGATGCCTGGGTGACTTTGAAATGGTCGCAGCCGTGACTAGTCATGACTTCGAAATAGTACGATGGTTGGCTAAGCCAATCACAAAGTAGGGCATCGCCTTGCGATCCCAGAACTGTCTGATGCAACTGGCAGATGGCGGGGCGCTAAAGGCGCCTTTTGAAGGAAGCATCGAACCACATTACGAATCCAGGCATAGTTCAGGTTCCGACGGAACAGATGGAATGCGGCGAGTGATCAAGCCTGGGCTTGAACGAAGGCGAGTCTAGTACCCTGGCTAGTACTAGTATGCGCATAACCCACCCGGCCTCACGGCTGATGCAGTCACGTGCCACGTGGCTGAGAGTGAGTCGCTCGGGCGGATATGTGTGGCTAGTGGGCGGCGGCCGGTATAGGACTCTATAGAGAAGACAACGGATGGTTTATAAATTTTTGTTTAGTTGAGAAAATCAACATCGCTGTTCCGTTCCTTACGGTGACCACCGGAGACCACAGTTTGTACGGCCTAAGCAGCTGCACCTGTTTCAGTACAGCTCTGGACCACTGCGTCCGGCAAACCACCACTCTGCTGGTCTTCCCGCGGTATATTTCATGGCGGCACCGAAACACATCCGTCGGACAAGTCAGAGCACATCGGGACGCCACATGAGCACACCGATGACGGTGCTTGTCACACTGGCACATTGTCAGTGATATCGTGCACCTGGTGTACACCGCGCTGCAGACGGGCCTACGGGCGTCAACGGCGGCTCCTCGCGCCGCGGTTCTCGCGCCCTGGACCCACTCGTCCCGATCACACGTGTTGTGGGCGTGCCGCCCGACCAATGAGCCTCACACTGCGGTCGGCGTCGCTGCCGGTGATTGGCAGCGCGATCAGGTCGGCGCTCTGGGTGCAGGCTGCAGGCACACTCCGTGTGCACGTCACACGCAGACACACACACACACTGCTGACACGTCGGCTCGAGCGTCACGCAAGCCGTCACCGACGGACGCGGGTGGGTAAGCCCATCCCCAGTGGGTGTACGTCAAAGCGCACAACACGAACCACGTCCGCAGTGAGCCCCCGTGGGCGTATGTCTCGCCCCAGCCCGGGGGTGGTGTACAGATTAATCAACAACCCACGCCGACTTCACCCCGAGGGTTTGGAGCGCTCACCGGTGGGGTGCAATCACCGGACACCGTGGTCGAGTGCGCCGCGGGCACATGCGCACGACGCCTGCTGCTGTCGTAGGGCTAGTTTCCGATCCTCGGGCGCGCACCGCGAGAGCCAACACGCGTTTGTACAGCCGAATGGGTCATACAGAAAGTAAGCAAACGGCGCGGAGTGCCGCCCGAGGGGGAGCCTCCACGTTAGCCCCACTGCGGGTGAGTTTGCGACTTTGAGAGGGAATTTCATGCTGGAAGGCGCACACCATTGTCAGGCGTCTCAAGGTAGCGCACATGGTAAGATATCTCAGGGTAGCGCATATGGTAAGGCATATCAAGGTAGCGCACGTGGTAAGATATATCAGGGTAGCGCACATGGTAAGGCATATCAAGGTAGCGCGCGTGGTAACATATCTCAGGGTAGCGCATATGGTGAGGCATATCAAGGTAGCGCACATGGTAAGGTATCTCAGGGTAGCGCATATGGTAAGGCATATCAAGGTAGCGCACGTGGTAAGGTATCTCAGGGTAGTGCATATGGTAAGGCATATCAAGGTAGCGCACGTGGTAAGGTATCTCAGGGTAGCGCATATGGTAAGGCATATCAAGGTAGCGCACGTGGAAAGTAGACGTCTGACGAAGACCAGCATGCAACACAAGAGCCAGAGTTCCATTCTCAAGCACATGGGTCCACGGCAATGACATCTGATATTCAACATCAATCAACATCACAAAATCAACATCATACAATCCTGTCGAGCCATGTGTCCCTATACATACCCTCTCTCACCGCCTCCTGAACCCAGCGGTTGCGGACCGGCTCACCGCGCTGCTGGGGGATATTGTGGAGGATGGCGCATGCGAGCACCATCGGCGGGACGTTTTTTCGGGGTGGGTTATTTTGCCGGTGTACTTTGTTATGTTTAGATTGGGCGTCCACGGATTGGTAAAGCCGATTGCAAGACCGCGTGGTCGGCTGCACGTCCGCGTGACGTGGGATGACAGCAGCAGGGGCGTAAGTCACTACGTGCCAGCCACGCAACTCAAGTGTGAAACACGGCCGCTTGCAGCTGGAGCACGGTGCAGATGAGGCATACTAGGGGTACACTCTGGAAAAGAATGATCGCCTACAGTTCTCGCTACATGGCAGCCGCATCTCTGGTATCCGGTGAGTGGACAATATGGTGTCAAGGAGATTAAGTGTCAGGTCATAATGCATTGATTTTTGCCAATCGCGTTCCGACCATTTTTACGATAGTTTGTACGCTACGTCGATTACATTTAAGCCGTCTCCCAGAAAAAAACATGCATTTTCCCCCCTACTTAGTTAAAGTCACATACTTTTGCCCACGTCTTGTTCCGGTTACATAGCCAGTCCTTTAAAGGTCACTGTGACCCCTGTGCTGTGGCACCAGACGTGACATTCAGCTCGGCTGGCGCTGCCGGAGAGCTCGCCGCCGGCCAGCCGCAACCTGCCGCCTCCAAGTATCCATCCGACGCTGCCGGAGAGATGGCAGCTGGCGGGGCTCTCCAGCCTGACGCCGACAGAGGGCGCGTCCGTACCGCTGCGCTGGTGCGCTGCTCTCCGGACCGGCGGCCGGCCTGCGCCACCTGCTGCCGACGCTTCTCGTCTGTGGCCTGCACATGGCCCACGCATTCCAGCAGCTCTGCGCAGAGCTAACCCGCAGTGCCGGTGCTGTGTCTGCCTCGGTAGGTGTGCTTCGGTGAGATAGAGACAACCGGCTTAGGGACAACCGGCTGACCCTGTGACGCTCAAATTTGTGGGATCTTTGTTCTATCTCTTCCAAGTTTGTATACTACTATCTGAAAACAGAAACACTGCTGAAGCTTTGGCAAACCTTGATACGTGAACATATGAAATAAAATAAACATAATCTCAGGTATAACGAAATATCTGTGCTACATGTCCTACACTACGTGCTACCTGTGACATCTACACATCTGTTGTTGTGAAAGGCAACCGGGAGGGATCTGGCGGCAGTGCGTTGAAAGAGCCGCCACTGGCGCAAGGTTGAATCTGCTTCCTCACGTACGCGACCCAGCCCATTTGGACGGGTCGCAGCCAGCCGCGTGGCCGTCCTTCGATACTCCGGCCGCCCCGGCGCCGGTCAATGGCGAGCGCGGCCTGCACCGCGGCGTCTCGACTGCGCGCCCGGACTGACCCAACTGAACTTTAACATGCGCTCCTGCTGCGCCAGTCCAGACGTCTCCGGCGCGGGTCGTCGGTCACTGGGGGCAGCGTGGTGCCGCAGTCACGGCTTTGTGCGGTACATATGCCCACCGGACGTCATGCAATTGCCCGGGAGCTGTTGTTGGTTTTGTGCAAGGATTTCACTGGTTTATGAAAATATCCAGTGGTTTTTCAATCATTTTGTATACACCTGATTTTGGTTTGGGCTTCTGGTTTTAATCCGCGCCATGTTGATATCAGTGGCCAAGCATGGGCAGGGGAAGCATAAGGTCAAGTGATTTGCGCTTAGTTCTTCGTTGTTCGCAATAAAACTGCGTATCGGATGATAGTTGAAGTGTGAAATGCGGTTCCAAATGCCATACCATAGCGGCGTATTGGTGGCAGCCACCATCTGAGATACGAAGAATCGCATTGGGGCTGAGAATGGAATACATCGTGAATGACACCACAGCCGAAAACGCAAATACAAGTAGAAAACCATGCGACCATGGACAAAATCACCAGAACACCTAAAGATAAGGCCAAACCACCCCATATAACGCTAGAACAAGGTGCGTAGCGGGACGTAGGTACGTAGCTTAGACCACCGCCTTGCGGCGGGTAGAGGAGCCACAAGTGAGTCACGCCGTCCGCTACAGTTACAACTCTGCATGGCCCATCTGGCAGCGATTCTGACGTCAAGAAAACGTTCCATAACAAAATCAGATGATGACGTATTGAGGAGTGTAGTTATTAAAACATGAAATCCTGTTGTTGAGAACATTCTTTCGCACTTAAAAGCGTACCAATAGCTGTAATTGAGTATTTTCACCGTGTATCAGACTCGTCTCAATATCTTCCAGCAGGGGCCAGTCCTCTTAAACATTCGTGTTTGCGGTAATGCAACATCACGTGTACGAACAGCAGAAGGCAATTAGAAGGCTCAAACGCTGAGCACAGAAAGCAGGCAATGGTAGGCAGTTTTGGATCCTACCCGGAGGACTATGCATTGAAAGAATCCTTAATGCAACTTTTACTCAAACCTTTTTGGACCGGTACAACCCCGCGTGGTGGTAGTTAAGGAGCTCTCTCGAAAAGTGACGCACATGTTCCATCGTCGGATTATTTGGCACCTCTTACACGAGATATTTCGTGGACTAGCAAACGTAGTATTCTCTAAGTGGAGCACAATAGCTACTTTTATTTTGCGCTCACGACACAGTCACGACACCTGGACCCAGCAGCTGGGTCGACGCCACCACGTCACGTCGACCGTCCACCGGCGTCACGGTACGCGCACGCCCGCGCCTGGGCGGCACCATTGCTCGCGCATCACCGCGCTCGTTCGGTGCCGAGCCGCGCTAAACACCGCCGGAGGCGTGCCACACGACGACCGGCTCAGGTCCGCGTCGCGGTCACAGGTGGTGTCTGGCGATGCCTCCAGCCGGTACAGCTTGGCGGTGGGTTGGCAAGTGAGATTTCCGCGGAGCAGAATTGCCGCGGCACGGCAGCGGCCGTCCGGTCCTTTGATGAGCGAAGCCACCCTGGCCGAG